GAATGAAAACTAGTTTTCATAATGTTATAACTAAAATTACTAGGCATGGTTATAAGCCCTTTTGCAATAAATGAAAATTGCATACCTTCCAAAAATATAATGACTTATCGATTGAAATGCATTACCCATATTAAAATCCACAAGTCTGTGAGAAGAAAAAAAAACACTTCTTTTCTGTCATTGCATTATTACAACTATTCTTTAGAACTTGTATTAGATGAAAAGAAGCATTTATCCTGGCTTGCAAAAGGAATTATATTTCAGAGTAACCAAATTGACATAGCTAATAAGAAAGTGCCTTCTTAAAGGAGAACGACAGCTTTTAAGTGTAGGTTGAATGACTGAATTCAAAAACCACCAATTTGGGGCCTCTTATGTATTCCTTCATTCAGGCAAGGACTATCCATTTATGTTAAAAACACCAGGCGGGGCCTGGGATTTAGCTCAGTTGTTTCCCTGCCTGCTGCGCAAGCGCAAGGACCTGAGTTTGATCCCTGGTACCAAAAAAAACCCAAAACAAAACAAAAAAAAACAGGCGAACTGTTATTGGAAAATTGGATAATCACTTGGCATCAAGGAACCACCCCAGAGATTACAAACTGCTTGCTTGAGGGGAAATGTAACTTTGTGAAGGAGGAATCTGGTTGTCACCAACTTAATCCCGTCATCGTCATCCACATCATTACTGAATAATAATGGGATGAGCAGAATTTATGAGTTCTCTTAGGTGATGTGGCAGGAAATACACACCATCACTTATGAAGTATTTCTCCCAATAAATGTTTCATGTGAATGAAGTCAAGCTTGAAGATCTGACTTCCAGTTTACAGGAAATACATGGGATAGAGGAATAAGTAAAGTGACACCAATTGGTAATGATTAGACAAGTACAGGAAATGAAATTATTATGTGAAGCAGTTGGATTCTGCCAGACACCCAAAGGCTTTGGAAAACATCAACAGTCTCCACACAGTGTAGGTGACAACTCGCATGCAGAAGCTTCCACACGAGGATGCGTGCAGAGCAGAAAGCATCATGGGTAATATTACAAAAGAGGGACTTCTTTCCCTGACTGGGCTTCAGGCGGATGGAGCAGGGGGAAAATGACAGGCAAGTAACTGTGTAGTTAGTGGGCTCTGCAAAAGGAGTCCGGCAGTCTTTTAGGAAGTTGAAGTCACGTGCAGCGCCTTCTGCTGGGTGGGAGGCACCACTCATCTAGCAAGAAACGCGGAGAGAACCGAGAATCACTCGGTGGACAGTTCTGTTTGTCTCCTTAGGAAACCGAGGCTATATAGGGACTTCTGGCTCGGTCTTTTCAGCAGGTCAATGGGTGAGGGAAAGAATACATTTTAAGAGTATGAGAAATTTAAAGAAGACAACTGTGTGTTCCTTGATTGGATCCTGGCTTGGCATTTGTAGAAATCTGAAGATGAATTGAGGGATAAGTGCTAATAGGGAGTTACTGTCCATTATATTTTATTTATAAAGATATGATCAAATAAAGACTCACTATTTTTAGAGATGCATAGTGGGGTGTTTAGGGTTGAGCTATTGTGAAATCTGTAAATTATTTTAAAATACTTCTGACAAAACAGATGATGCAAATATGGGAAGATCTAAATGATGGATGTCCGTTAAGTTTTTCTATTTCTGCCTGAAAATTTTATATATAATATATATTCCAGCCAATGTGTCGTGAATTAAATCAAGCATGCAGATTTAATTATATATTTTAATTAAATATCTTCAATGTATAATAAAATATTTTAATTAACTATATTTAATTATATATAACTGAATATAAAGAATGGAAGTTTATTATATTATCATTTTGTATCAAGGGCTAAATGATTGCTAGCAAGCTGAAGACTTTAATTAAAATAATTAGGGTATCAGTAGAAGTCTAAGTAGGATCTGAATTTAAAAATGTGCTAACTGGATCACCCTGCTGAGAACCTTAGCTCATTTGGATTTAACTGTGGCATACATTATTTCTAAAAAGTAGACTTTAATATTTGCACAGCACTTTACTTTAAAACATTACCAAAATATTGAAAAGTATTTCTTCAAATTTAAGCCCCAGTTCTCTTTTCAGAAGAAAAACATCAGTAGTTTTTCCCAAAATTTTCCTTTGCAGATTTGTTGTTAGCCTTCTATACTTGCAATTATCTACTTTGCTTTTTTATTTTAGTTTTTATTTTGTTTAGTTTTTAGAGTTTATTGTAACTTTTTTTTCTGAGAAAGGTTCTCGCTGAGTTTCCTAGACTGATCTTGAAATTGTGATCTGCCTCAGCCTCCTGAGGAGCTGGGATTAAGACATGTGGCACCACAACTGATTTTATTGCAACTTTTTAAACGTATTTTTAATTTTTCATTTTATTGGGATTTTTTTTAATATTCAAGAGGCAAATAATAGCATAACAAAACTCTATATGACCAGCACTGAGCTATAGTGACCTTCAGTTCAGAGTTAATCTACTCTACACTCCCTTCCTTTCGTATAGATTAATAGATTATCAATCTTCATAAGTCATAGATTGTTTTGAAACAAATCCAAATACCATATCATTTCACCTAGAATGTTTTGTTATGATTCTTTGAAATATGAGCATTTTTCTTTACATAACTTCAACATCATCATCAAACCCATAAGAGTATTTTTAGTATTATCAAAATATACCATCATGGGCCGGGGATTTAGCTCAGTGGCACCGCCACCTTCCTCTTGAGGGCAAGGTCCTGAGTTCCATCCCCAGGACCAAAAAACTATATATATATATATATATATATATATATATATATATATATATATATATATATATTCAGTCATCAGTAAAATGGTTTACAGATGCGCTTTTCAAGTTGATTTGTTGCAAAGATTCAAACAAGGTCCACACATTACATTTGGCTGAGATGTCTTGTTCATATCTAATCAATATATTGTTTTAATAATAAATTTTAGAGATCATTCTTTTTATTGGCTGCATAGTAAGCCATTGTATATGTGCCCCATAATGTATTTTACCTAGTCCCCACGGGTGGAAGATTAGGCTCTTCTCAGCCACTTATTGTTATAAACCATACTGCAATAAATAGTATCAAACATATGGCTTTGAACACCTATGAAGAATGTGTGTAAGATAAATCCCTATAGAAGGTATTATGTGTTTAAAAGTATGAGGCATTGCAATTTGTGGCAGAAGCAGACAAATTGTCTTCCAAAGAGACTGTCCCTAGAATACCCCTCTTTCTCCAAACACATACCAACATCAGGTGCTATAAAATTTGGGCCATTATAATAAGTAAAATATGGTAATTGTTGTTTCATTTTCATTTTCTTAACTGAGAGCAAAATTAATTATTCTTTTGTATGTGTATCTCATTTGTACTTTTTTCTGGGAACTGTGATCTTTGATCATTTTTCAATTGGATTGTTAGCTTTTACTAATTGATTTGCATGATCAATGTATATAGTATAAGAATTTGTTATTTCTTATGTGTATTGCAAATATTTTTCTTGTTTGCCTGTTCCTTTCTTTGATGTATTTTCTGATACATTGGATTTTATGTATATGCTATTTTATATCCATTCCATGTTGATAAAATGTCTTGCATGTGCCTTCCTACATAGAGCATTAGAAATTTCAAAGCCTTCTATATAAGCTTGTAAAAGAAAGAGGCAAAGTTGGCTAAGTGACTGCACACACCTTTCACCTTTGTTGTGAGCACTTGTCTGCTAAACATCAAAACCTCTGCAACCAGATATTTTCCCCTAACTTCATCTAAGAAGTATTGCACCATAAATGAACACTTGTCAAACAAGTTTGCGAAATGCTTGATAACTTCCTGGATGGTCTTTATTTTCTCTTATTACCATTAATGATGTAGCTGAAAGTTGAAAGAAATGGTGAGTAGTGCTATTTCCCTGAATATTAATAGAATTTCCAATAGTGGTTAATTAAGTAAGGTATTTAATGAAATTGGATACCTAAAAAGTCCTCCTGAAACAAAGGGAAAATTAGTTTTTAATGGCAGAAGCTAGAAATCAGATCTGTTTAGCTCCTTAATGCATAATTGATAATGAAAGAGGTAATTTAGCCCTTTTGTTGAAAAATTATGCTAAGAAAAAATGAAAAGTTAGAAGTTAAATGAATTGCTCAAGGTCACACAGAAAGTTTAAGTAGTGAAGCCAAGATACTTAACCAAATTTACCAGTTTAGAGTCCAACTACTATGCTGTGTTTTCTCAAAATAAATAAATAAATAAATTACCAGAAAACAAAGAAGGTATTAACGTGAAAGTAAATTTTGGATGTTGCTGGTCCTCGTTTATCTTGCAAGGCAATAGTTTCTGCATTTAATAAAACTGTTTTGCTTGTATAACCATGAGGCACTTATCTTGTAAAAATTTGTTACAATTTGAATGACCTCTCTCCCTCCCACAGTTGTCATGCCTTTTATGGGATAGATGCTTGGCATTTCTTTTTTTTTTTGGTACCGGGGATCGAACTCGGGACCTTCCACTTTGCGAGGCGGGCGCCGGCACCACTGAGCTAAATCCCCAGCCCAGTGCTTGACATTTCTTGAATGGATTCTTGCTGCTATTCAAAATCTCAAAAGAAATGGAGTGGTTGGTTTTTACTTTTGAATCTTGATTTCACGTGTACCTGCACACACATATGCAAGATGCCCATATTAATAAAACTGCATCTTTTTAGTGTGACGATATCAAACCCTTCATTAAGGAGGAGTTTCTGTTATTAAATATCCAGGGGTCAGGGATTTAGCTCAGTGGTTCTGCCGCCTGCCTCCCAAGCACAAAGACCCGAGTTCGATCCCCGGTACCAAAAAAAAAAAAAAAGAATATTAAACCCAGAGCTTAAGGTGAACTAAGGAAATACAATTCAGATTTTTCTTTTTAATAAGCAAAGTTAGGGTAATGTATAAACAAAAGCAGAATTCTTTTTTTTTGTTTTTTTAATTTTTCTTATATTTTATTTTTTGTGGTGCTGGGAATTGAACCCAGGACCTCCCACATGCTAGGTGAGTTCTCTACCACTGAGCTACACCTCAACTTTTTTTTTTTTGCACTTTATTAAATTCTTTTATTGGTACATTGTAGGTATACAACACAATTACGTTTCTCATTGGGAATTGTACCTTTATATAATGCATCTTGGTTCTTATTTTTTCCCCATTCCTAGCCCTCCCTTCACCCCCTCCACCCTTCCCTATTTACAAAGACTTTATTTCCATTTTTCCATTTCTCATCATTTTTTCCTTTCCCTTCTTTCCTTTCTCCTGCCCCTCCCATTACCCCTACCCCTTTGGACCTTTTCTTCCTATTTTGCATTATCCATTATTCATTCTAATCATTGGTACATTTTAGGTATACAATATAATGACATTCATCATTGGAAATTTGCACCTTTCCATAGTCTCTCTTGGTTCTTATTTTTCACCCTTGCCCAGCCCTCCCTTCAACCCCTCCATTCCTCCCTATTTACAAAGATTTTGTTCCTATTTTTCTATTTTCTCATATTAATCCCATTCCCTTCTATCCTTTCCCCTAGCCCTCCCACTTCCTTCCCCTTTGCCCCTTTTCTTCCTATTTCACATTACCTATTATACATTTAGTCCTTATTTACACTTTCAGTTTCTCACACCAGAAAACTATTCGGTATTTACACATGTGTGTCCTATTTATTTCACTTAAGAGTATCACCTCAATGTGCATCCACTTAGCTATAAATGTCTCTAATTTCTCATTTTTATGGCTGAGTAGTACTCCATTTTATAAAAAAAAAACCCACATTTTCTTTATCCAGTCTCCAGTTGATGGACATTTGGGCTGTTTCCAAGTTTTAGCTATCACAAACTGTGCTGCTATGAACATGGGCGCACATATATCACTGTGGTAAGATTCTTTTAATTCTTTGGGGAAGATCCCCAGCAGTGGAATAGCGGGGTCAAATGGGACTTCCAGTCCTAGTACTTTGAGGTATCTCCATACTGATTTCCACAGTGGTTGCACTGCAGAAATGACGCCAGACACACTCAGCCATCTCATCTTTGATAAAGGAGCCAAACACCCTCACTGGAGGAAAGATAGCTTCTTTAATAAATGGTGCTGGAAAAATTGGGCTTCAGCTTGCCAAAGATTAAAACTAGACCTATATCTCTTGCCATGCACTAAACTAAAATCAAAATGGATTAAAGATCTAAATATTAAAATAGAAACTCTGAACCAGTTGGAACAGAGGTTAGGTAGAACCCTTGAAGACATCGGTGTAGGAAAAGATTTTATGAACAAAACCTCAGTTGCCCGTGAACTAGCACAAACAATCAACAGGTGGGATCTCTTCTTATGAAAAGGCTTCTGCACAGCAAGAGAAACCACCAGCACTGTGAAGAGACAACCCACAATGTGGGAAAAAATCTTCACCTGCTCTTCCTCAGACAAAGGTTTACTATCTCAAATCTAAAAAGTAGAATTCTATAACCAAAATCTGTATGTATTCAGCCCACTGAAATCTTATGTGTAAACTATAATTGTAACATATTTTATTGAACATTTTTATATGCTAGGTGCTAGATTTAAGCCTAATGTGGTTTATCTCATTTCATCCTTATAACAATCTTTTGAATTAGATACTACAAATTTTCCACATTTTTCAAATGAGACCACTAAGGCTCAGCAGTAAGAGTATATCTAGAATTAAAAGTTAGGATTATTCAATACTGACTTTTTAATCATTCACAGTTGCTAAGTACCGAAATGATATTCTAGACTTTAAGGACCCAGCTTTGTTGATATGGCACTAGCTTATCCTACAGTCTCTGGCATGACTCAGTTTGAGAAGACTTAAAGAGAAATTGTATTTGCTAAGTCCTAAAAAGCAGGGAATAGGTAAGATTTGTATTAGCAGAGAAAAGAAGGAAGAGCCATCCAAAGGAAGAGAATTAAAATATTGGGAATCATGAACATTAACATTTGGCAAGTAGCTTATACATTAACTTCAAAAGGTGATGCCATGGCTTGTTTAAAAGCAATGGTCCCAAAGTTTCTTTTTGATCTATAGCAGATCTGATTAGCTATCACCTTGCCAAGAAACTACTAAAGTCACCTTCCTCCGTGAGACACACATTCCAGACAAGTTAGGACATGGGCGTGCTGTAAACGATTGAAGATAAAGTACAATGTAAAGCTGAATCCTGTCTTAAACTTTTCAAGTCAAAACAATGAGAACTTTCACATAGAATCTAAAATAAATACAATCTGAAAGTTGCAATGATCGCAGCATGATACTGCTCTTTGCATTGAAATCAGTCTTATCAAGTATAGTCACAGCATCTCTGAGTTCCTTGTGAAGAATTGTCAATAAAAATGCCAAAATAAGCTTTCCACATGCTGAGAATATCATGACATCTGTTTTCAAAGTTACTTTTCTGTAATTGTCAAATCTCATTATAGTTGGTAAAATTGTTTTCTTTCACCTGAGATAAGTGCCTGTGATTTTAAATAGCAACACTTCAAAAATGATGATTGTGAGTCTTGCTAATTATACAGTTGTGCTGTGTTTGCTAAAAGGACAGCATTCTTACCAATGACTTATATCACTCCATCGTTCATGGCCAGGAGCAGCAGTGAACCTGACATCAAACAGACTTGGGCAGGGAGATAATGTAAGAGCTTGTGCAACAACAGGTTCAAAGGTAGAGGAGTTTGGGGGCTTCAACAATGGCATTAGAGAGTCCGGTTCTTTTTCTGTTTCTCTCCTGTGAAGATATGAAATTTGCAAAAGATAAAAAGCTTCATCTCCAGTCTGTAGAGTTGGCTTCATCCAAAAGCGTGCTTGCTTTATCATTGTAGAACATCTGTAGGTAGTAATGTACACTCTACCCACCTTCACTAATGTCTAGCGAGTGAGAGAGATTTCTCCCAAGACCAAGGAAGCTTCCTTTCCAGATGCCCTTAACAAGTCCCTTCTCATATCCCTCTTTTGTCCAAGCTGGCTTAGGACTACCCAGTGCTGAACTAATTACTGGAAAGAAGAGTGAAATTTCAATGATTGGTATAGAGGCTAAGTTGCTGGGATACTATGGATTCTGAAGAGTTCATTGCAATCCTCACCATACCATAATAATATAGTTCAATAGTAAACCTTCTTAGGAATCAGGGAAGCCCTTCCTGAGAAATTAAACTAATAGAAGGAAGTATGATTTAATTTAGTGGACAACCTGTCTCTGATGCATTGCAGCCATTAACACCAGAAGTGGGTGTACCTATCACTCCATTGTTTTGTGTGGTCCCCAAAGTTTATGTGACAAAACAGGGCATGTCCAGAGAGCATCTCCTTAGGAAAACTTCCCTTGGTAGGTTCTCTGATATCTGTCTGTCTCTGTCTCTCTGCCTTTCTCTCCTTGAAATTTTCATAATGGAGAAAACTATCCTTCAGGATTCACAGTCCTTCGCTTCACACTGGTATCAAGCAACACCTCCACAGTCTAGTATTCCCTTTGCTCTTGTGCACATCTTGATTTTATAATTTTGGTGGGGATTTGCTGAGACAGGGTCTCACTGTGTAGTCCAGGCTGGCCTTGAATTCCCTAGGTCCCTAAGCTTTCCCAGTGCTGAGATTACAGGCATGCACCACTACAAACCATAATAATTTTGGAAACATTCAGATTAAAAATGAAATCATTGGGGGGCAACCCACTTTCCAGTCCCCCTTCTGTCTCTCTTAGGCAGAAGCTTTCTTTCTCCCAATAAATTTTTCCTACTCTTAAAAAATAATAAATAAATAAATAAAGTCATTGGTTGGTTGTGGTATAAAGTAATTTACAAACACAATCCTGATTTAGGCTAAGATTATAAATCCTTAAGGCTATATATTTACAACTTCAAATTTGTTGTACAAATGACTATGATCTTATTAAAATGCAGATTGTAATAAGGTAAATCCTCATCAATGATTATGTTAATGTCCACAAGAGCAAGGGGACTTTCTGGAGGACATGGTGAGATGACTGAACACAGGGACAAGGGTGGGAAGAGCAAAATAAGCCTACTGAAGAGGTTGTGCTAAAGTTTGCATTGTATTCTTATAGAAAATGAAGGATGGAGATGGAAATATTGTATCTGTTCTCTGGTGTCCATAAGACTCAGCCCAACCTACCATTCTTTCCACACGTGCACTCAGATATAACAGATGATCTGAAGTGTCTGAGTTGATTTGGCTTGTTCCTCCCATGCATTTCCTAAGCCTGGATCTTGTGTTAAACAATGAGTACTGACTCACAGAACTGCAGTATGCAGGCTATACATTAGAGCCTGGGACCAGTTTTCTAGTTGGTCACTTGGCCTCCATTCATTGCAGTGGTTAACTTGTTTCTGTGGGTTCCTACCAAGCTCTGGAGTTCCAGTCCCAAATGATCCCTATCTACTCCCCTCCCCTCGCCTGGGACATTCTCAGTCACATACCTGGCCTCAGCCAAGAAGACCCCACAAGAATAGGTTTGGACAGCAAGGCCAGAAAACAGGCCTATCTCTATGTTTGCAAGTGTACCTTTTCCACTTTCCCTTACACACACACACACACACACACACACACACACACACACACACATGCCCACACATGCATGGACACAAGTCTATGAAATCTCGAGGGAATCTCTGTTACATCAAAACCTCTTGCTGGACGGGCCTCCAGAGCCCTGTGAGTAAATTCCCATTTCTCCCTTTTAGACTAATGTTAGGGAGAATAATAGGCAGAGATTCTATTTCTTTCATCTAGTTCAGCACCTCTTTCAAAATAAGCATTTCCTTTTAAGCATTACCGAAACTCACTCATGCTCTTTCTGTTTGGACTCCTCTGAGACAGCCCATTCCATTGTGGGGGAGACACCTTTATATCTGACAAGTTCCACAGTCTTAGCTCAGAATTGGCAGCACTGTATTACTTCCTTACTTTGGCCCTAGCTCTATTTTTTTTTTCATTTTTCTACTTGGAAATTCTTCAGAAAGTTAAAGACAGCTACTACTTCCCTGAAGGTTTCTCATTTCCCACTGA